CAACATGTAGTGCAGTGGAACTACAAACCAAAACTCCATTTAGTAGAGAATGACTGACCTCTCCTTGAAACAGATTCCACTTTGGCAGTGCAGCATGTTCAGTCAATACAAAGTCCTGATAAATGAAGAACTGCATTCATCACATCACGTGACTGATCACTGTGCAGCTGGCAACTCTGCATCTCTCTGTGATGTTTCATTTTTTTTTGTTGTTTTTTTTTGTTTCTTTCTTTAAAGGACCCAAACCTAAATTTTCCTTTTTTTCTTGAACATTATTAAAGCTACAGAAACACCTGTTTTTGACTCCATTATTGTTGTGATGCTTTTACACAGACCCTACTACTCTACTCTACTACATATACAGTTGTATGCAAAGGTTTGAACACATCCCTGTCAAATAATATTTTGTTGATTTTCTAAGAGAACATATTTAAATATGGCATTTTTTTCTGCACATTTTAGAGCACAATTTCCATTTTGTTTAACATTTGACATATTGAAAAAAACTGAAACATAAAATGTGCCATAATGTTTTATTTTATGTTAAATTCAGAAAATAAACAGAAATTGTGCATTAAAATGCGCAGAAGCGTGTTCTTTCATTTTCACTTAGAAAATCAAACATGTCATTTGACCAGGGCAGCCAAACTTTTGCATAGAACTGTTTATCACCCTTAAAGGTACAGTTACAAAAACTAACTGTTTGTGAGGGTTAAAGAGAGACAGGAACTGATCATATAAATGAGGCATAAAAAAGTTAACCTTAAAAAAGTGAAAATACAGGAATAACAGAAGTTGGGCCACATATTTATATTGTGGGTTCTGTCACACTGATAGACCATTTTACCTCCTATGTGAAGACTATGGAGAACACTGATATTGATAAAACAGTGACAAAATGTCATTGCTTGTTTGATGTGAATGGGAGATAATCACGTGCAGGATCTTCTTCAGAGGTGACTGATATAATCTCATCTGATTTTTTCCAGGGGTAGACCGCAGGTGATGAAGCAGAGTAGCTCCACTGCAGTTTATCTTATGTAGATCATGGATTTTTATGCTCATCCAGGACAAGTGATAGCTGGATAGAAGGACCAGCTCACCACATGCAGTACTTCATATGACCCCTAGGGGGCATGCATAAGCTAGGCAGCACTCCTCTACGTAAAGAAAATATGGCATGAAGAGAGCTACAATCAGCAAAGGAGGACTCTAAATCTCACCAACCAGTTTTTTTTTAGATCTAAATTTAGGTTTGTATTGGAATTTTAATCATTTAGACAAACAAAGGAGACAATAAGTATGAAAATCTGCATATAGTCTTATTAAACAGACAAATCATAATCTGTACAGACATTTAATAAAAATGCACTAGCTGTGTTCAGTTTGTTACATCTCAATATTACATTTGCAGAATTTCAGAAAATATCACAGCCATAAATTTTTACAAAGTAAAGAGGTTTAGTCCATGTTGTTAATTCTGAATATATTCTACAGACCACACAGGAAAAAAATGACTTGAAACATAACTTTGCATGGCGTGCAATTTGAGTCTTTACAAAGGGGCAGAGAAAAGGCCATTTAAATCAATGCAGCTTCCTCTTTGGCTCCCACAGTCTGTACTTTCTTCTTTCTCTGCACACAGATCCTCATGGGTTGTCACAGTTGTTATTTAAAACAGCCTTGTAATCTACCTTTTTCACATTTTCTATGCATTGTAAGGTCACACGGTACATCCACTACAGAACAAGTGTACTCATCGAGTGTACATCATGAATATCACTCTCCACTCTTGGCCCAGTAGTTTCCCTGCTCTAAAGCACTCCATTCAACTCATTCAAGTCATGAGTAGCCTGGATAACTTCAATAAAGATTGTTAGAAGAGGGAAACACAAAGCTTAGTGTACAGGTACTGATTTATCCCTGGGGTAATGTCACACTGAAGACTTGGAGTGGCCAGATACGTTTATCATCATGTACCTACACAACATAATCACAGAATACATTAAATCATTCTTCTCACAGTTTTGTTCAGTACACTTCACAAACTATCAGACCCAGTGAGTTGTTCCATGTCCAAATGACACTTGGTTCAGGTTCCATTCTATCAGTCCCAATCAAAAGCAACCGATTTGTTGGTGCTGTGGGTCAAAAGAAAAACTGCTCAGGCAATGGGCAACTGCAAAGCTTACAAAACTGCAACGTGTACACCTACATGGGATTTAAAAAAAACAAAAAAAACAAAAAAAAACCACTGTCATTCACGTGAAGCACTGTTCTTATGAAGCATATATGACTCCCCCTTGTGGAGAATTCTGTCTGCTAAATGTAAGTATATGAGTGAGTTACAAGCGAGTTCAATGAGATGCTTCACATCTAGAAAGAACACAGAAAAAGGGGAGAATATACTACAGAACCTGTTTTAAGAATGAAAAGTCAGAACAATACATCCTGTAACCCTTTAAAGTTCTAAAACCCTCGACAGTAGCTGGTAAAGTGCCTCTATAAATCTGTTGTAATGTAATTTGTTTTTAGAGAAAAACAAAAGGATGAACCATTTAAATATACAATCATGTCCACTATCTATTGACAATTTAGGAAGGAGAATAGTATATGCAATAATATTTGACATTTATTATCTACAATATTTAGGCATATATAGTCATAAGATATTTTCATAAATCCAAGCTTACTCAAAAAAAAAAATGGGACAATGTCTGTCACTTGCAATCTAGCTCTATTATTTACAGAATACCATCAATGTTGATCACAGGGTAGCACTTCCAAAATACCTTTGGAATAGAGATCATGGAAAAACAAATCTAAGTTCACTTTGTGCAGAAACAAAATATTAAATATAATAAGCCTCTTAATTCTTAGGACTATTTGAAATCACGAGTAAGAGGACAGCATAGAGAGCCAATACAAGAAACTCCATGAGTAAGATGATGCATTAGTTACACAGCATGTTTGTTTCCTATAATGCTGTCATCTATATGACAGGATATAACCGGCTATAAATGAAAGACACTAAATAACCAAGGTGGACTGGTTCAACACCCCCGTTTTTACAGTGCATGAGATGAATACTATGTGGTTGCTCAGAGGGTCTAAGACAGGGGTGGCAAACTCCAGTCTTGGAGGACACTTTATTCAAGTCAGCAGTTAACTGGCAGGTTTACTTGTTCTGCTAAGAGTGGGAAAATCAAAGCGCTGGACGCTGGCCCTTCAGGGCCACAGTACGCCATCCCTGTTTAAACAGTTAGTCTGTCATTTAGTTTACAGCTTAAAATATTTTTAGAAGTATATTAAGCATGTCCAATGTATAGACCTTCAGAGAGCAGCAGTCCTACCCATAATTATCATCTTTCTAGTGTTGCTGTTACTTACTTTCATTAGCACTGATGTTACTATTATATGCATTAGTCCATGGACTTCTACATGGTTCATTTTTATCCAGCTTGTCTATGGCAGAACACTCTAAAGAAATGAGGCTTTAAAGTCAACCTAATATCAAAATTGACATTTTACCTTATTTCATGTCCCTGGTTACATTAAGCATGATCTATCATACCATGTCAACGAAAAGACAAAATTTGTGTTTCTTGATCAGAATGTAATAACTTCATCTCTCCATGAAACCATCTTTTGAGTTCTGATTACATCACTGTGCACCATCATGCAATATTAACCAGTAATATGGTACATAATACTTTGCATTTACATGCTATTCCCTCTTTGCAGCAAAAAGCCTATAAATGCACAAATTACACAGAACCATAGATCAAGGGATCATCATGATCCCAATTTCCCACTGAAATGGTGCTAGTAGTAGAATTTCAGTGGAAATCAATTCCTAGAACTGCATTCAAGCTCTTCATTTATATGAAGGTAACCTGCTATTAGGGCTCTGCAATTCAAACGTTCCAGCAGTTTATAAAAGAGACCTGTTATAGGTCTTTTATTGGAGTGCAATTCATGATCAAGACTGTGCCTGTTCCACTCATTCTCTCAGCTTCTGAGCAAAATCCTTGGTTCTCTGGACCTGCTGTGCTATTTGAAGTAATTACACAATGGCATGTCCGATTCATCTTACTTATGATTGAATGCTGAATTGAGGGCTGTATAACAGATATAACCTGGCAGGCATGTGTACACAAGTCCTAAGATGTGTGGCGGGGAATTCAGATACAGTCCATGACTCCAGTCCTTTTACTGCTCTAAGAGTTTTTGAAAGAAAACAAAAGAAGGAGTGAAAAAAAGGCAACAACCAGTGAACCCAGGTCTGTATAAAAGCTTAACGAAAAGGAACCTGTAGGAAGTAAACAATAAATAAGGCCATGGCCAAACAAAAGCACACCAAAAAGTGCAATTGTTTACTTAACATTCAATGCACCTCTAAAAGTACTCATTTACTATGCAGCTGTGTTCCTTTCCATTTTTTTTTTATATGTTGGTCCAAAAACTCTTGGCTCATCATAGTCATATTTCCCAGAAGTTTAGCCTTCTTACAATGACAATATGCCATTTTTTTTTAAATGGCAGGAGTCAAAGATATGTCATTTGGGTTAGGTTTTTACCTCAAACGATCAGTCTATTAGAAACATTAGAGAAACACCTGCATGTTATTCTACCTACTCATCAATCACTATTACACAAATGTTGAACTTCAACAGACATACACAAACACCATTCAAACACCATCCAGAACACTATCCCATTTGCATCTTTAAATCACAATCGAATACCTCAGAACAAAGTGGGTCACTCCATATCAAAACAAAAGAGGAAGGGAAATTGTCACCACACCCCTCACAGATCTTGGAGTCACTTTATGATCTACAAACTGAGTTCGACTGTTTTTTTTTCTCCTTATAAATGTAGGTGAAGCAAGAAAAACAGTAAGTTTGTAGCAGAAAAAGTGGGGCATTTTGCAAATATATATTATATATAGCTATATATATATTATATATTATATATATATATATATATATATATTATATATATAGAGGACAGATAGATAGATATTTCTCTGATTCCCATTAATTTAATAACTGTAATAGATTTAGACTAAGTTTAACTAGTACTGTAAAGCAGCAAAATTGAGGAGCCAAAACAAAGTTTCTAAACCACAAAATTTCCCTATTTATTACAGATCTTACAGACTTCATATTCTCAAATAAATACAGTTGTGTGCAAAGGTTTGGACACTCCAGTTTGAATATAAAACAACCTCTACAGGGAACTAAAATAAGGCATTTTTCTGCAAACGTTAATGAACACTATTTATTTGCAGGCTTCAACATTTTGAAAAGAAATTACACATGAAAAATAAAATGTGCCATAACTTTTCCATGGGTCACATTTTGTTTTTCCCCCCACTATGTTACATTCAGTAAAGTAATTGTACATTAAAATGTGTAGAAGCATGTTCTCTATAGAGGATGTAATGACTTATTTTAACTTAGAAAATCAACAAAACATGTTATTTAACAGGGGTGCCCAAAATTTTACTTCTAACTGTACCTGTACTCAAGACCAATGGTTCTTGTTAAAAAGTGACACTGCTGACAGATGGAACAAACAGTCCATGACAGAACATTTACATGAAGGTGGTACTTGTCTGGATCACCAATTTGGCTTGGTTCAAATCTGTACTACAGTTAAAAAGTTAGTGAAAAGTTAAAGGAAATATAAGTGCCAACTTTGACTGTTACAAATGTACATTTTTCCCTTTTTAGTTACCATTTACACACAAAATACTGAGACACATCTCTAAAATCACCCTGTGGTGTTGAGCCTCAGTGATTTGGAATAGACTGTGTAGGGATGACCCATGTAAACCATACTTTATGGAGTGGTGCTGGATGGCTGTGCTTTACAATAAACCCCTGCCTATGTGCATTATATCAGAACTCAAATATAACTGAAGTCCAGAAAAAAAACCTGTCTGGATATGCCATGAAAGTGAAGAAAGTGTTTCACAAAAGCAGATCACCTAAAATGGCAAATGTGTGGTTTGCACAGCAGCTGAAACAAGCAAATCAATAAACCAATTAAGATTAGAAAAAAAGAAAAACAAAAAAAAAAAGAGATTAATGTCCCAGAATGCTCCTGAGCCTCTCTCAGGACTCAGCTTTGTCTTTGCTATTTGGATTCTGGGACATTTTCGGCAGGGGATATGGTGTGGAGGAATGAGGTTCCAACATGGCACTGGCCCACCGGAACTTTACTTATAGCATCCACAGTCCGATATGACCAGGGAGGGCACTGGGGCCAGGGTTAGAGCAGTGGATGGATGGAAAGAGGGTCTAGGCTTTCTTAGAATGTCTGCGATGCATCAGCCCAGGTCCATGCTCTACCTATCCTTCAGTTCCCTGGTCACACGTTTAGTTATGCGGCCACAGAGCAAGCCCACTAGGAAAAGGACACAAACAGCCAGTGCGATCATTAACAGAATGTAATTCTTTGAAGGTGAAGTCATCACTTGTACAGCCAGGTCTGCGAAGCCTTCAGCTGGAGCTACCTGCGGAAACAGTTAAGAACAGCTGGTGAAACTGAAGTCTGCAGAATTCTGTCTGACTATGCACAGGTGTGTTACTATTGCCCAAAGTTATGAAATTCTCTGAAAACCTGAGAGCAACTGGCAGCACTTCTTAAAAACAACCATAAAACACATTCATGTAACATTGCATTTAACTATGCTTAGTTTGCACTCTTAGAGAAAAAAAGTTTGCATATAGTACTAAAAAAAGTTATATGAACCATCCTAGTGCTAAATAAAACCATTTTTAAAAGGTTCTTTAAAGCACTGGCTCTCAAATCGGTTCTCTGACCTCCCCAGACAGTCCACACTTTTGCTTTCTCTCTCTCTTTTTTTATTTATTTATATATTTTTTCTTTTTGTAAAACTGTCCTCTGTCTTGGGAGCCCTGAGGACAGGTTTGAGAACCACTGGTTGAAAGATCTATGTACATCAGGAGAAGAATCATGCAAGGGACCATTTAGGCACTGAAATGGTTCTTTGAGTTTTCATGGTTCTACAAATAGTATAACCATTGTCTACACTAATGAACTCTTGATGAACCCATTTTTAAAAAGGGTATACCAAGTGTCTCATTTTTTTTAGCCAAATTTTCTAGTATCAGTTTACATTTTCCTCTATACTCTGGCTTGATTAACTCAACCAAAGTTTAATGTACTTTTGTTAAACTTTCATTTTTTTAATCTTTTACTTTGTCAATGTTTTTTTATGAGTTTTCTAGTTTACATGTCTAATGAATTATCACAAAAACACTAAACCTGAAAAGCATAAATACATTTTATCATTAGTAGTGCTAGCAGTGTTATGTGCATTTGTATATAATGACCAACCTTGGCTGCATAGCCCCACATCTCTATACGGTCTTGCAGTCTTTTCTTACACTCTGGCTGCAGTCTCACTCGTTTATCCTGCAGAGCCTCTATCAAACAAGACATCTCTGCAATATGGGAGCAACACAGTCAAGCATAAGAAATCAAGAGCACCCTGATTAGACAGGGAAAAATTCCTCAGCAATTCTATTCTCCGTAACTCATGTGTACTGAATAGAAGTCAGCACAGGTGTAAAATTGAATCCCGCACCCAACACGTACCCACGATCTTTGAAACCTGCTTAATATGAAACTCAAACCTGACCTAAACCCAGTTGCATACAGGAACAGAGACGGATTATCAAAGAAATTGTTTTACAGTGCTTTGCTTTCTGACAAAGCATTTTAGTTGAGTGACAGAAAATATGATGCTGGGAGAAACTAGTATTTTACATGTGTAATATATATTAAGAGTACTTATCAGTATATTTTTTTGCGAAACAGGCTGGCAGAGAACAGTATCCATCCTCCTCTTATCAACTATTAAATTTTAGCATATTGCTGTCAAGTTCCATTTGCTAATGCTAAGCAGATTTCAGGTGGGCTTAACAAGTAAGAAAAAACATCTGTGTTGCCTGATGTAACAAAACTGGCAGTTAGTGTTCTCCTCCAGCCATGCTGAGCTGTCTATTGATGTTCGAAAAGATACAGTGGCTGGCTTCAAACATCTCTTCGGAGACATATGTTATGTCGGGTGGGAAATGAATATAACTAAATTAGGCGGAAAACTGGGTAAAATAATAATAATAATAATAATAATAATAATAATAATATAATAATAATAATATAATAATATCAACAAGAATAATAACAAGTATTATTATTATATAATAAAAATTATTATTATTATTATTATTATTATTATTATTATGTTCTAGGTGAAAAATCAGCCTGAACCTGGACCAAAATCTTGGACTGGGTAGCAGAGCCCTAGCACTGTGATCTGGCAAACTATAAAAGTAGTGAGTGAAACCTGGAAGGCCCCTTGAACTGATAAGCTGACAAGTTCTGTTTCTCTGCACTTGTAAAAGGCCAGAATGGGTTTCATGGGAGTGATGCCAAAGAAAAATCATATTCAGTTCCCTAAAAACTCTCCCTTCCACTAAAGTAAGGGCTCTATGTCAAAAGTTTTTTTTCCTTCTCCTTGAACTATGCATTCAAGCCAAGAACCATTTAGGCACCTTTTTTCCCTTCTTTTTTAAAGAGTATGGGCTCCCTGATATAGTCAGAAGTGTACTCACGTCTGCCTCGACCAGGGGTGATGGCTGCACAGTGGTGTTTCAGGTCCAAGGCACAGGCTGTGTGCAACACAGGATCCACAAAAATGTCTGCTTTGCTTTCTTTGAGCATGTTTAAAACTTCCTAGATGATGAAACGAACAGAAAACAAACAGTGAGAAAGGGTTATGATAAGGAACAATAGGAAGTACTGGCAAAAACTTCTGCAAACAGAAGAGTCTTCAGATAAGGGAGGGTTTTGAGCCAGACTGGGCACATGTCAACAGAGCAGACGTGAGTTTACAGTTATGCAGGTCCACATACTCTGGATGTTTGTGTGAGCACTGATGGGTACTTGAATGGTACATCACATTAGGAATGCTGGTGTATATACATAACTAGGGCTTGTTTACTACCTTCTTGCAGGGCTCATTTTTGAGCTTCAGTAGGTTATTCTTCAGACACTCCTCCACCTGGCCTGTCTGCTCCTGTGCAGCAGCTTCCTCAGCACACAAGTTTGTAATCTATGACACACAAACAAAATGTGATAGAGCCACAGTGCAGTGATGAATGGTGTTAGCCATACCAATGAAATGCAGCTGCACAAAAACATCATATCAGGTTTCCTCTCTTAAAGCCACCCAATGTCTGGCCCTGGGCACTGAGCTTGATAAATGTGCTCCAAGAGATATGATGCAATCACAATGGCAGCACAGAGATTTCATGTCTCCCATGCTTTCAGAGAGCTTAAACCACTCATGACCTGCTACCATATTAAAAGTTAAAAATTTGCTTAGCTCTTATTTTCACCAGTTCTCTTCACAGGAAAGTGTAATATTATCCCCTCATCCTCATCCCAAATGCATTTTACATGCATTTTTATTTTAATGATGGTGTTAATAAAGGAAACCAACTGGTTAGCTTAGCACTATTTGTTAAGGCTGGTATAAGAGCATAAAAACAGAGATGACAGATTTTCTCCATATCAGAAGCTTCTCTTTATTATATTTTTAAAACAAGTGTCTTATGAATACTATGCTTCAATTAAAAGTTTGTTGCAGCCACTGATATAAAGTAAAATATCGACCAAATAATATATCAAACAGACTCTAACACAAAGTGGCAATTTTATGAAGTACATATTAATGGCAGTGTAACAGCGTTGGGCCGATTTTTATGTTAGGTTTGTTTTTGCAGGAAGCTTGGAGCAATGTGTGAACGAATCAGTGTCTGAAAGGCACACAAGTTCTTCTCATTACTGCCAATCAAGTGCATTTCATTATGGCAAAGGGATGCTCATTAACAGCTTTACACTTTAAGCACTTCTTTGCCAACATGGTTTTCCTATTTTTATTAGCTTCAGAAATTAAGGAAAACAGCAAGTAGTTATGGTGTGTGGGTGTTTGTGAGTAGGCACCTGTCTCTGTGCTCAAAGTAGCAGGCATTGTGCATGTCTCAGTGCAAAGCTCGAGCAGTCTGAGCCCATGCATAAGGTATGCGCTTATGTGTCTAAAAGGAAAAGACTTGGAGGGTCTGACTCACCTCCGCAGAGCAGTGAACCTGAAGCTGAGGGTCAAGCCTGTAGTCAAGGGCCGATTCCTGAAGGATCACCCTGATCTGGTCCTCGCAGTCCGTAGACAGTCGCTAGAGACAACGTCAAGTTTAAAACATCAACGCACACAGACACACAGAAAAACAGAGAAAGAAAAACTATTAGCGAATCTGCTTCATCTTTCTGTAATTTCTGACTATTACACATTAAGCATCAAAGAAATCCACAAATTAACAGTGGTAACATTCCGTGGTGTATGTACCTGGTCAGCGTATTTAAGCTTCAGGCAGGATATGACCTGGCCCTCTAGTTCATGGTCATCACTGGCCTTGTTGAGAATGTTCTGACAAAATTTAGGAATGTCTGCTTTGCAGGCCTTCCGTAGCACTGGATTAAGCCTATAGTCTGAATATCAGGAAATTACAGTAAATACCAACATAGCAAACCAGATTAAAAAACACAAACAAGTAAATAAATGATAAATATATACAATAAAATACATACATTAAATTAGTATAAATAATATAAATACATATAACTAATGGATGTGAAACCACATGCATGGATGTGAAACCAATAAAAAAACAAAACACTGAAAATGAAAACAACTTTGATGTATCATCATTGTTCCTTTTAAAATTTGAAGAGTAAGAAGCACAGCCACACAGAGTCACAGCGTACCATAGGAAATTATTGCTACCTGTGCTCTGAGTGATCTGTCTCTTGGTGATCATCTGCTTGCATTTGGGGTCCATCAGTTCACTGTTCTTGTTCTGTTTCAGGCAGTGCAGCATATTCTTGGCATCAGACTCGGCACAAAAACGCTGATTCAGGGACGAGAGAGAGGAGAGAAAGAGAGAAAATAAACTAAGAAAAATATTGGCATTCTTTTTATTAAAATACAATAGATTTATTACATTTCTAATTTTTTTTCCTGTAAACATATGTTGTAATAAACCACCTTCAACCAAAATTAGTCATCAAGTCATTTATTCTTTTTTTGGTGGGTCGAAACTCACCAATATTACTCACCACAGTAGTTCCGAAATAAGAGGCATTTAGTCACCACAATGTGACTGACACCTCATTTTCTTATTTGTTCTATGGGGCCTCTAATGTGGCCAATACAAGATGTCACAGCTGAGCCAGAGGAAAAGAGGAAAAATGAGTATAAAGACCACACAAGTCAGTAACACACCTTTATCATCTGTTTGCACACTCTCATTAGCTGATAGTCCAGCTCAGGGTCCATCATCTCTGTCTCCTGTAGCTTAAAGACCTTCTGATGGCATGGGTGAGTCAGGTGCTGCTTATTATCCTTCAGACACTCAATGACCTGTAGAAGACACACAGGACAGTCAGTAAGTAAAGTAAAAGATATGGAGAGGGATATAGGGGCTTGAGTCCAGTCCCTCACCTCATTCAGAATCTAAGAAAAGAGAATGTGGCGTTATCTTGGCAGAAAGTCAAAAAGGGTCATAAGGGTCAAAAGGGTCAAAATTCTCAGTACAGCAGCTGCAATAATTTTAACCTGTGTATTTTAAGACTTTGTAAGCATTATTATTCTTTTGAATTGCTGAATGGTTTTGCCTCACTGGAAAGTCAGGTTTGTCTTCTATCCCTAGTGTAAGATCAAGCTGATAAAAAATGGACAAAAAAATGGATTTTTTTTTTCTTTTGTTTTTGCCTTATCTTTACCAACTGTGCCAATAATTGTGGTGGACACTATACTCAGTCAGCCATATTAAATACACCATCTTGTTTCTATGCTCATTGTCCATTTTATCAGCTCCTCTCACCATATAGGTGCACTTTGTGGTTCTACATTATAGACTGTAGACTGTAGTCCATCTGTTTCTCTGCATACTTTGTTAGCCCCATTTTACCCTGTTCTTCAATGGTCAAGAGCTCCACAGGACCAACAAAGAGCAGGTTTTATTTGGGTGTTGGATCATTCTCAGTACTGCAGTGACACTGACGTGGTGGTGATATGTTTGTGTGCTGAAATGGCATAAGTGGATCAAATAGAGCGGTGCTGCTGGAGTTTTTCAACAACTCAGTGTCACTGCCAGACCAAGAATAGTGCAACCAACCAAAAACATCCAGCCAACAGCGTCCTGTGGGCAGCATCATGTAACCACTAATGAAGGACTAGAGGATGACCAACACAAACCATGCAGCAACAGATGAGCTATTGTCTCTGACTTTACATCTACAAAATAGACCAACAACTAATATCGTGGACAGTGAAAAGACACACATGGTTTGAAAATCTAGTAACACCGCTGTGTCCGATCCACTCATACCAGCACAACACACACTAACACGCTAACACCACGTCAGTGTCACTGCAGTGCTGAGAATGATCCACCACCCAAATAGTACCTGCTCTGTGGTGGTCTTGTGGGGGTCTTGTGGAGGTCTGTAATTGTAAAACTACAAAGTGCACCTATATAGTAAGCGCAGCTGATAAAACAGACCATGAATGTAGAAACAAGGATGTGGTTTTAATGTTAAGGCTGACTGGTGTATGTATCAAGCTACTTATTATGTGTTATAGTTCCTGCATTGGTGTCCTTACCTGAGCATTGCCAAACATAACAGCAGAGCACCACCTGCTGATGTCTTTCTTGCACAAGTCATGCAGCTCAGGCTCCAAACGAATGTCCTCTGACTGCAAAGAAAGAGAAGCAAAACTGTGAGGGTTCATAAGATACCTCTACCTCAACTCATTCATTTGGCCTTGTACAAATGCAATATGGCCCATCTTCCATGGCCAAGGGCATCATTCATATCAGATGCTCAGGAGCCAGGAGAATTTGAGCAAGGCCTGAGGGAATGCGGAGTTAGCCCTGTCAGTCTGTATGTATCTGCATGTATCCCACTCATCCACATAAAGAGACAGTTTTACATGCATGTGTAACGGCGACAAAGTGTTTTCACAGAAACAGTAACAGTTTTGATACCAGAAACAGTCTGCATTCAAAGTAAAACCATCCTTATTGCTTCTGCTACTGGACAATGGAAATGGCAAGATCTAAAACAGCAGAAGTGTTCTTAGTGTTCTAACTCTTGCATAAACTTTGATTTGCTCGAAAATGTATCAGCTGCATGCATGGAGAAAAACTAATTCCTAGACCCTGTTAACACCTGGTTGTTTCATGTGTCTTGAGTATCAGGATCATATCCAGATAGAGATAATTCACATAAAAATGCAGGTGTAAACATGCCCAAGACACATTTAATTTTAGTATATGTGCTGACTCAGGACACATTTAAACCACAATTAAACCTGATTGCTCAAACCACTTCAGGAGGTGGTCCGAGACGCTTTTAAGCCAGATGTTATATAAGTGTAAATGTATCAGTCTGCCCAAGCCACACTGGACAACAAAAACCTCTCCCAATGCTGTGATGACATCTCTCTCTGCTGTTCTGCATATGGGGAAAACTGGCCACTAAAATGCCACCACTAAACAGATGCATTACTGCTCCTTCAGTTCAGCTTGTGATGCGAGTTTCTTTTCTAAGTTTAACCCAGTAGCCTTAAGCTAATTAAAATAAAGAGCCAGTGTGGTTTATCTTCACTTTGTCTTGTCATTACTCACAATACTTTACGTTTTAACACACATAGTCCACTGCCACAATAGCTAATACAGACTAATTATTCTAAATAGTCGCCTTTAAATATCTTGTAAACAGTGTAAAGCATGTGTAAGGAAATAAAAAACACCATACAAAACAGTGATTTTGGCGATGGAAACCATCGTTTGAATAGGAAGGAAAAGAAAACATTGCTAGTAATTGCTTGATGTGTGAGCTGTTTGCATATATTATACACCATACAGCAATCTGACTAATCAGAGACACATCTGACTACAAAGGGTAAATGCATGTGGTTACAAATTTAACAGGTTACAATCCAGATATGACGAGGTGTAAATGGGGTTCAGACTTCTCACCATTTCCAGCTCTTCTACTCGGAGCTGCTTGCGACACTTCAGGGACACACGCTGCTCCTTCACATCCTGCAAAGTGTCATTCCTTACTGTGGTACTCAAACAGATCACCACATCCACCCTGAAGAAAGAGGAACAGAAAGATGCCAAAGTAATCCAACTGGGAGAGGACAGAACGCATGAGAGGTTGTTCAAGAGACTGAGAAGTCTGAGAACCTGTTAGAAGCACAGGAATAAAAGCCACCTCTTAAATGTGGCCACAAAATCATTAACTGTAATGTCAACACTACATTGTTGTGAAAATGTACAGCATTAAGGTGAAAGAGCACACAATACCAAACTTACTTCTTCTTTATGTTAGGGCACAGTTTGAGGACGTCCTCTTTGCAGGCCATCTTGAATTTATATGAGAAGCGAAAGTCTTTCATTTGAATCTGAGAAAAACACAGATAGATTTATTTAGATATTTAAGAGTTAACAATGTTTTACACACTTAGTATACAACACAGTCTAAGTCAATGACACCACACCACATACGGTTAGTAAATATTAATTCAACATTATTAATATCCAAGGCTCTACATGTACAGCTTACCAGCTGGAAGTGTGTAACTCCCACAGCACACTTGTCATTCATCTCTTTTTGATGTTTGTTCTGCACCAAGCATTCCATCAGATCTCCCGTGTCTATCTGATTATCAGCCACATCCTGTGTGAGAAAGAAGTGTTTGCTTGATTAAATTTGAATCAGACTCTTAACTCTGTTTAGGGAAATAAACAACTCAGGAAACTGACACTGATAGGAACATCTAATCCCCCTAGAATGAAAACCATGGGAGGCAGAATTAGGACCACAGTCATATCCATAATAAACATAATCTTATTAAAGAAACTGAAGTGAGAGTGGGCTGCACTCACGTGGCAGTGGGACTGGATAACTGGCTCACAGGCTCGGATCAACAGTGCTTCTATCTGGATGTCCTGTGGAGGAGCCATGGCAAGATGGCATTGAGCTCAGAGAATATAATACAGTACTATGATTTGATCCAATGATCATTTTCTGAAATCTACTTGTACATATTGCTCAGCTACACTGTTAGTTCTGAACAGATGGCAATATTTATACAAAATGTCTAATGAAGCACACACCTCAGACTCTAACTCTGTCAGGTTGCCCACCACATCTCTGCAGTCTTGTACCAAGTCCTCTAGATGGTCCTGCAGACACTCCAACTCCTGGATCAGAAAGGAAAGGAAGGATCAGTTGATGAAATACACAGAACTGCTCTAATAATACTGTCAAAATCTATATAACCAGTTTATTTCCCATGGTCACCTATGAGTCTGGGTGTAAGAGCAGTCACTTGTTGAGCTCACCATTGCTTCTTGTGTTGTGTCAAAATTTGCGCTCAAACACACTGCAAAGACTACAGCTAACAACTGACATGCACCCACATACCTGACGAACCTTAACGAATATACAAAGAATACATTGCTTGTATTAAAAGCTTCAAATGTCCATGTTTAAGCAAAACCTCAAGTGTGAAAGTGAATCACTGTTAGCTTCGTGCTGGTTGGATAAAAGGCTACTTAAAAGCGAATGTTTGTGCATCACACACTGACACAAATTGTGTGTTTGGTAAAATAAATAAATAAACAAACAAATAAATAAATAAATAAATAAATAAAGTAAAAAAGGTTTAAAAAAATAAAAGTCTTTGAAATCAGTGTCCCATGCTTTGTTTTATGTTATCAAAGCAGCTTATAAATATACATGTGTATATTTATAATGATATTATATAGTGATAGACAATAATCTCGGAATCATATCCGTATGGACAGATAATTGCTTAAAAAAAAACAAACAAAAAAAACAAAACAAAACAAAAAAAACACAACAGTATCTGCATTGGACTGATGCTTTGATTTGAATGATATTTCACACCAATATTTTATGATATAGTTATTGTACCCCAATACCCCAAAAGAGCAGAATGTTTAGAACACTGGGTTACTACAGCAAAATCTCTATGTTTTTAAAAATTTTACTGCACTTGTAATGCCCTGTGATGGACTGGCGAATTGTCCAGAGTGTTTCCTGCCTTTCGCCCAAGGATCGCTGGCACAGGTTTCAGCACCCCCCATGACCCAGGAAGATGTGCGCGCGCATGTGCACATTTGAAACACTACAGCAATAAATGATGGACTTCTTGGTAACACTAACTTCTTCAGACGGAGAAACGTCCTCTAAGCACTTTGAACCCAGAAACTTTCTCTCAGCCAGCAACGCGTTAACTTCATATTAGCGACTAAAATTATAAATCGGACTGACAAACTTCCTTGCAGCTGGCAACAAGCTAACCTCTGTGGTCGTGATCGATAATCTTTGGACTGAGAAAGCTCTCTTGCCAACGGAGGAACGGTTGTTTGTACCAATTTACATTTTGTAAATGTTTGTGTGTCAGCACAAAAAATATTGGATGCAGGCATCAGCCCACAATTCCCATGTTGGTGCGTTCCTAATATTACATATTTTCTTATTGGCAATACTGCTTTTAATATTCAGACATTCAAAATGCGAAAAGGATTAAAATATCCAACCCTGGTTATATAACTTTTCTACTTGCACAGGAGCTGAAAAATGAGGCTTTTCTCTGCGTGCGCCACTCTCAGCTGCCTCTCACGCCTGAGTGCTGACGGCAATTCAACATACTCAATCGACCAAAACAGCCAGTGCTGACGAGAGCCAGTTAGATGGTGCCGACCAATGATGCGGGACAGGCCACGGACGACGGTCAGTCACAGACAGCCTGACGGCAACAGACAGTTGTCCTGGTGTGAGCTTTATTTACCTGGCCAGTTTCTGTCTTCTCACTGCACCACTTGCCCAGGTCAGTCATACAGCGTTTCTGGAGTTCTGGGTCCAGCTTCACATCCAGAGCTCTCTGGTGCAGGATCCGCTGGACTTCAACCTTGCAGTCCCTTGTAAGCTACAAGAGAGCAAGAGTCAATGATTCTCTCACTCTCTCTCTCACAAAATTGTCTTTTAAATCAGATTAAATCCCGCATGACACACTGCACAGTGACAATTACATAGGCTAAAAATAATTATTCTGGCAAGCAAATTTAGCTCAGCATTTTTTCTATTACAGTCTTCATGATTTCCTGCCTTCTTTCATTTCTAAGATCAATTTAAAGTCTCATCGCATTATGAAAAATTACTATAGAATTATGATACCCATCACCATCATTATCAACCACATCTTTATTGTTTCAAAACTGAAACACTCACATACTGCTCTGGATCATGCTGTTAAAGTCAAAACACCAAACGTTAACCCATTACTTCCTTTTTTAACTGAGACAGTACATTTTAATAGAGATATCTAGGTTGTCTACCACAAAAGACCAATTTCAAAACAAGATAAATGTAGAAATAACAGAAATATCTGTGAAATAAAATAAAATATGCTGTCAAACTCTAGACTGCTTACTCGTGTGCCCTGTTCCTCTGTGCGGTAGGCATGGCGATAGAGGCAGGAGAACACAGCACCAGGAGGCATCAACTCGCTGGTCTCATTCCAGCCGTGTGTGTGGCAGAGCCGGGAAGCATCATTCTGGCACTTTCGATACAAGATAGGATCCAGCCTATAGGGAATCCATTTAATATTGAGATTACATAGGGGTTCAATGGGACAGGAGTCAAAAAAGGGTAAAGGATTTCAATAACCAGGGTTAGGGGTCAAAGTGATTGAAGTCTGACTCTTTACAAAACAATTACAGACAGCACCTATCCAATACCAGGTATCAGTATCCAGCCAATTGCAGCAGAAAATGCCGGATGGGATACTGAAGAGGAAAAAAAAATGAATCTGATCCAATCCTGTAAGAAATCTATCCTGAAATAGCAGACACTCAATATGTGATGTCATGTAGTAGACTGTTTGATCAGGATCAGCATGACAGACTACTTTTAAATGCTCATTTTAAGTCTTCAGTTAAAACTAGCTCATTTCAAAGCTTAGTAATTTTCAGAGAAAAAAAAATATTGGTAAAGGCATTTGCCAACACTCAAGGTTTCAATATTGGAACTGGTATTGTGGTATTACGCCATCTCTAGAAATTATTCAGTGCATAACAAGTCAAATCTCACCACAATGGAGTTATTTCAGTACAATTAATTATGGTACCATTAGTTTATTTAAAAAAAACAATAAACATAAAAAGTACAAATGTGACTTAACTATTTACATATAAATAGCTTGAGAACTTACATGCATATTTTACTGAATATTATAGTAACTGCTTAGCTGAATCATCACCTTCATCCATGCATTTTTACATCCCTAATCATGGATATAAAAGAGTGACTCAGCATTATGTTTAAATCAAGACAATAAAATGGAATCTCTCAGCTCGTAAAATATAGTGCACTGCAGTGATGAGTAAGAGGATGCAGCTGTGCCTTCTCCACTACAAACCAGCACAAAGGTCACAGCAAGATCTCTGCCATCCGTGGCTTCTCAAGCAGGAGCAAACAAACTCTTCACTACAATGGGCAGAGTGGGCAGTCAGTCACAATGGGTAATTACACCAAATTGCCGCTTCAAAGTATTCCAATTAAAAAGTACTTATGTCTAATGGGCTGTGAATGACATTACGAGCAGCGAAAAGGCTTTATTACACGACATCTTTGTGGGCACCTGAACGTCCCTGTTCACATTAAAAAAGATGAGAGTAATGTATTGATGGAGAGGGTCAACTTCCAAATGTCACAGCTCACACAGCAGCCAAATACTAGAGAGCTTGCAGCTATCAGAGCCATCGACAATCATTTTAATTAAAAACGCTAAAAAGATCAAACAGCCATTTAGCATTAAGCAAAGTGATTTTAGAGCATTTTGAAAGAGGACTTTCTCCATTATTAAAAAGTCCATTAAATTCTTTTCAGGTAGAAGTGAAAAGGAAAGAGTACAAGAGACAGTGTCATATGCCTTTTAAGAGTGTCATGTTAAGTCTCATTTTGATAGTTCGGATCATGCCTTGAACACATGGGAGTACCTTCCATTCCACCCCCCCCCCAACCATGCTCCCTCCCCCACGATGAACTGAGAGCATGGAGAAATAGGGAGGAGATAGGGAAGTGGTGGGGTGCAAAAACTGTCACAGGAATGGAAGGTAGAGATGGAAATTTATAGGACGTTAGATAAGAACAAGGAGTAACTTTGGGCATGGTCCTCCACCCAAACATTATTTCTTTTTTTAACTTCATTAAGAGAGACTGACTCACTTCCAGTCTCTGGAGATAAAATACTGCAGCTCCAGCAGCCGGTGCTCACAGTCTTCTACCATTTTCTCTGTGTAGAGGTGTTCCATGAGGCACGAGAGGATCCTATACATGCACACAAACACACACCAAAATTAGTGGTCTCCATTTGTCAGACTTCTCTGGTAGATCCAGATATTGCATGACAGCATGAAGAGAACAATGGCTATATGTTTCCTGAGGTATGTGAGGTCTGTTGTTTTTTTTCAAGCCACCAGTTGCCAGCATGTCTCAGCACACAGAGAGAATGAGACTACTTTATAGGCCCACTGTCCACTGAACCAATCTGAAAAGACATTCGAACACCTACCACCACCACAGACAGTCTTTGATCCAACTACCAGAAAGTGATGGAGTTATGATTTGTTATAAGTTTGAATCAGTCAGACAGGCTGTTATCTTTACTACTATTCAGCAAGTACTATTAACAATTTTACATGAGGAGCTTGGGTAATTTTGTAACATAATTTTACCAGACATCTATGTTCAATTTGCATAGGAGAAGAAATCTCAGTATAAGTCACAGAGATAAGGGTGGCTACTTTGTTTAAACACTGACTTTACCCCTTCAGAGAGGTCAGAGGGGTCGAATTTTAGATTTGACTCGTCATACAACTAATGGACAATCATAAATGAAACAAAAGTTTTCTAAATATTAAAAGAAGAGGGTTGTCACTTTTACTATGCTAAGGTGGATCCCCTTATATCCCACTATATAACAGAGACTTCACTAGCTGCTTTATGTCATTAACTAGCCTACTCACAGCAAAGTCTTTAACAAAGGGATAGAAATGCTCACTGTATAATTACACACTGACAATTCGGCTCAAATTCTGTTTTTCCTCCTAGTAAAGTATTCATGAGAATGAGAATTTAAAAGCTTGATGCAGTACAGTGTGCTGAAAAGACAAAAACAAATTGTTTAAGAGAACAGACATGAAAAAAGCCTTTCACACTCCATTACAATACCAAATAAAGGATAACTTTCCTCTGTTAAGATGACCACATTAAGTGGTACGTATTCACACACAAGTACTAACACACAGAGCACACAAGGTCACCGGGACTTACATAGGGTCTCCGTTGCGGATGTGTTTGCAGGCTGTCTGGATCACAGACTCACAGGCTTCATTGAGAGCACGATCAATGCGGTAATCAGCCCCAGGGTCTGCAGACTGGATGAGCGCTTGAAGCTAACGGGAGGGAAACACACCTAGTCTTAGTCACACAGGAGTGTGGAAAAAAAAAAAACAGAAGTTCAGAAGAGTTACAAAAAAAAAAAAATTATTAAAATATGGGACTCAACAATCGTGCAAGACCTGGTAGACCACCAAAACGGTCACCATTAGATAAACATAACTTAAATACTTCATCTCAAGCTCCAGTATTGCTTCAGATTTGAAAAAATCCACAGTTGTTTCAATCAATCCTTCTACTGTAAGATGACAATATAGGTATGAAAGGATGTGCAGCAGTCAAGAAGCCACAACTGAGAAAATGAAAGGGCTCTGGCTGTTCTCAGAACAATGGACTAATCATTCCCAGGCACAGAGCTCAATATCATTGCATGTGTTTCTTGGATCATGAAAAGCAGAAAACGTAGTCAGTTTCTATGACTGAATTTTTTAAGTGTGGAAAAATATCCCAGCAGATTTCTTTAAGAAACCAAAAGAACGTTTACAGGAAAAATGGAAGCTATTACAAAGGTAAAGCTATTACAAAGGTTCTGTTCAATATATGTTTGTTTTTCCTCGATGCTAAAAATGTATAACTTGTAATCAGAAGTCTTTTTGACTGGAAATGAAATAAATTAAGGGTGGTGACGTCTGTTCAGTACTGTAGGGTTCTGTTCTGTGATCCCTAGTCATTTTGTGTGATGCCCAATTATTTTTAGTCACTGTAAAAATCTAAAAAACTCAAAGTAAGATACCCAGTCTTTTCACAATCTGTTAGGATTTTTAAAGACGTGCAGTGTATCCAAAGCATATCTTTCATGCATCAGTTCTTGTAGCCTTGTACAACCTTTCAGAAGCTTGTCAGTTTGAATTTGTTTTGCTCAGTTCCAGTCTGTCATTTCTAGCACAACAAACTGCTTCTTAAACCTTTTGTACCCAGCCAATCATTATCCACTGATGAACTATGAAGGAGACTTGCATGATTATGACAACCACTTTTTCTTGTAGGATTGCTTGTAGGTGCATGGGTGCTTACAGCATTTTGACAGAGACTGTCAATTGTGCCCTTGTCCCCCCGACCCACTCTCATGAGGCAGTGGAGTGTGCGTCCCTTGCGGTGCAGACCAGAGCAGTGAGACTCGATCTCTCCCCGACAGTGAAGCACAATCTCTGGGCTCAGGGAGAAATCCTCCATCAGCATGCGCCTGTAGTCAAGCATCTCCCCTTGACACTCCCCACTCACCATGCGGCCTAGAGCAAAACACAGCAGCAAGTGCCATTAATTTGAAAGCATATATACAAATCCACAGTTGTAATAACTAACAGAACTGCATAAAAGCTTCCAAGTCAACATGAACTGGGAATAACACATTTTTCTTCCATTCTATGATGTGCTTCCAAGTGAAACATCACCAGGGAGGGTCTCTGAGCTAACTGACCGTTTTTGCTCAATGACAGGTGGGTGTGGTGGAATAGGGAGGTGATACCTGATATTACTTAAGACTAGAGAAAAACAAGAATGCTGTATTTTAAATTATATGATAAATTGTGCTTAACATGACCAGAGACAACTGAGAAGAAAAGAAATTATGTATTATTGGCACCCCTAAATTTTTTTAGAAACAAAGTGTAACTGAAGCAATTTTCCATTTATATTTTAGTTTTGTAAGTTAAGTCATTCTTCAACATGGGAAAGACAAAAGAATACATAAGGAAAAAGTGTGTTGTCCTTCATGAGTCATGGGAATGGCTATTAAAAATAGCTACTTACCTAAAAATACCCATATCTACAGTCAGGGCAATGATTAAAAAGTTTCAATCAACTTGAACTGTGACAAACTTGCCTGGATGACGACCCAGGTTCATTTTGCCCCCACACTCAGTGAGAAGAATGGGAAGAGAGGCAAAAAAAATAATAAATCTCCAGGATCACTGTTGGACAGTTACAAAAAAAAAGCAGCATTTTGGGTTCACCAAGTCACCAAAACTACCATCAGATGGCACATCCATGCCAACAGATTATTTGGTGGGCATGCCAGGAAGAAGTTTTCCTGTCATCTAACCACAAAGTGGTGCCTGGGGTTTGCTAGACGCTACTGGGACTTCAGCTGGAACCGTGTTCTATGGTCGGATGGTAAAAAAATATTGGCATTTTGGCAACAAACACTCAAGGTCGATTTGGGGTAAAATGGTGGATGACTACACTGAAAAGAGCCTAATACCCACTGTTTAGTATAGTGGAGGGTTTGTGATGTCGTGGGGCTGTTTTTCCCCCAAAGGCCCTGTAAAACTCGGGTACATGGCATCATTGACTCCAAAAATACCAAAACATGTCAAATCAAAACCTGTCTGCTTCTGACAAGAAGCTAAAAATGGGTCATCACTGGATCTTCCAGAAGGACAATGATCCAAATCAAATGTCCAGATCAACACAAACATGGTTTACTGAACACAAAATCAATCTTCTGCCATTGCCCAGTCCCCTGATCTAAGCTCCATAAAAAACCCCGCGGGCTGAACTAAAGAGGAGAGTACACATGAGAGGACCTAGGACCCAGGGGAATCTGGAGAGATTCTCTAAGGAGGAATGGTCTCAACTTCCTGCTCTGTATTCTCCAACCTTATAAGATGTCACAGGTTTGTGTTAGTCATCCTCTAATCCTACATCGTTGGTCACAGGATGCTGCCCACAGAACGCTGTTGGCCAGATACTGTTTGCCGGTGGACTATTCTCAGTGCAGCAGTGACCGTGAGGTGTTTAAAAACTCCAGCAGCACTGCTGTGTCTGATCCACTCATAGCACAACACAAACCAACATACCACCACGACATCAGTGTCATGCAGTGCTGAGAATGATCCACCTTTCAAATAATACCTGCTCTGTGGTGGTCCTGACCATTGAACAACAGAGTAAAAGGGGCTAGCATGTTATGTAAAGAAAAAAAAACAACAAAAACATAACACTGATGAACCACAGTCTGTAATTGTGTGTGCGTGTGTATACATATACACACATATACACACATATATATATATATATATATATATATATATATATATATATATATATATATATATATATATATACACACACACACACACACATATACACACACACACACACATACACACACACACACCCCTACATACATAGGAAGAACTGATTTATGCATGATTTGTATAGTTTCAGCAACACACAAATGTACTGACCTCTGTGCACTGCAGACTCGAGGCAGAGGAGCAGGTATGAAAGCCTAGCTTCTCTTGCTCGGGGCAGGTTGGTGTCCAGGTTACAGCGGTATTTACGGAGGTCAGCCTTGCAAGCTTTGGCCAGTGAGTAACTGACCTTATAGTCCTGAGCAATCAGCTTTTGCCTTGTGGTCAGGGCGTCTCTGCACTGTGGACAGAAATGCTTATTTAGACTCCAGACACACACTCACACCACAAACTGCCACATACATTCCTGTGGGTTTTTTCACAGGCTATGTATGCAGCAGTTAAGCAACTCTTCTGCCTCACGAACTATTTTAAATTCACATAAATGTTTTTCTCTGTTTTACATTTCCTTCACTACAATTCACAATAGTCATACAATAGGTCACACAATTCACATAATCATGTGTAACAAACAGCGTTAGATGAGCAGCACACCTTTTCAGACATTGCTTCCTCAAATTTGTGGTTGAAGAGACATTTGTAGACCCTGCCTTCTCCAGCTTGGGTCTGCAAGAAAGAAATGTGCATGGTTTATGAGCACTTCCACAAACAGGTCATAAAATAACGAGGAATTTTCTAGACCCAGACATTGGAACTGCATCAGCTAATCCTGTCACTATGACACAAGCTGATTTAAGGCCCAGGAGAAGGCGCAGCTGTCAATCATCTTTTCTTGGCCATCAGTGACGTCGATCACCAGAGGGAATGAACAACACTAGATGTGAAATGAGGACGACACTAGCAGTTTTGGAGGTATTAAAGGGCAGGATGGATTCAGAGTAGTAGCCGACCAATTTATGGCTAGTTTTAAATTCTTACAGCACTTTTGATGTGAAAACCATTTATTTCTGAGGATTTAAATTGTCTTTAAAAGAGACTGTCATCTTTACAGTCCATCTGCTCACTTTTATTACAGTCATCTGGACTAAACTGGTAAATCTGAACACAAAATTCCATCACTGTTAAAATTACACAAAATGTATCCATCCTAACAGCTAGCATGAGGATAACGTTATAACACTAAAAATCTTTCTATGAAGAGACCTAATTAAAAAAAGAATCCAGCCAAGAATGCTGGGAAGCTCCACTACCATTGCTGCAATATTTACCTTTTTTAAGACTTCCTATACTTCAGCTTTTCATGTTCAAGTAATTGGAAAATTGAGGACTGACAGCTATATGACAATTTACAGTTGATGACAGAATCATATTAGACAGTAAAACACTGTTTAATTAAGAGTATTTAATCTTTTTCATCATATTAAGCTATATCAGCCAATACTATCGGTTATCTCTTTTAGAGTCTTTAGCTTCTAATTTAGTGTCAGACAAAAAGAAAGTTACATTTTCACAGAAGCGTTCTCGGTCATTACGACAGGAAAAGTAGAGGTAGCGGTCCAGGTGGAAGTCGTCAGAGGAGAGCTCAGCCACTCGCATGATGGCCTTCTTGCAGGCATCTTTGATTTGGTGAGCCTGTTCCTGCTGCTCCGCCTCCCTGACCAAGGCCTTTTCCAGACATGCGATGACTTCACCTTGAGAGTGCAGGTCCTGAGAGAAGAGACGCGAAGAACAGACAAATAGTTAGGTAAAGCACAGATGTTAATATTGGAAGAAAATAAAAAGAGCTAAAGTAAAGAAAGACAAACTGAGAAGAGGTAACCTCAATAACATTCCATAAAAAGATTGTGTGGATGAAAATCACCAAGGGATTTCACACCCACTCAAATACTTCTGGCACCTAATATCTAAAGCACTTTGAAGCAACCACCCTCTGATCTCATTTCATATTAAATTTTCAGACAACAGAATGATGTGTCTTAGTCTAGTAGATCTTTAACTACTGAATAACCTTAAAAATGTCTGCAAGCACTCGAAAGATGTGATTTTAAATATTTATTTCACAGATGTTTTACTTGGAAGAACGCTTTGATGCTCTGTGCTCAACATTTAATTCTCATTCAGTTCTGTCCTGTTCCCTGTGCTGGACAAAAGATTTTCATACTCCATAACTAAAAGCAGGCTACTTCTTTAAAGTAAGCTGGTGGGGTTATACTGCAAGGGCTCACTTAAGACTTCATTCAGACACTGGCCAAAATCATTCCCCCTAAAATCTAAAGAGATTTACAAACATCACAAGAGCAGAAGGAAAATAATTATAAACACAGCAATGATATGAATTCACTGCACAAAAAAAGCTTGCATATGGCTACACAGGCCATCTACAATGAAAACATATCACTATATTAAAAAAAATGTAGCTGACCCCATTTTTAATGATACTGAGAACTAATGATACTATGTGCACTCACTTTGTCGCCAGTAGTGATGCTTCCACAGTGCAGAGTATTGATGTCCTCTCTGCACTTGTCCATGAAGCCACATATGAGTCGGTAGTCACTGAAGACAATACTGGTCATCTTTGTGATGTATTGATGGCACTGGTACTCCGTGATGTTGCCACGGTGATCCACCAGGCAGGACACCAGATAGCCTTTACCTCTCTCCTCATCTGCACATTCTTTAAACTGGTCAGAAAAAGATGAACAGTCTGTGGTTTCACATACTGAATTGCTGTTAAAACTAATAAACTTAAATAAAAAAAAAGTACAAAATCAATGCTAAATCTTTAAATAATGACTTAATCTAGGTATTACTTGGATTCTTTCAGCTTGTGCCATCAAATCTAAACTAAATTAAATCCCTTGAATGTCACTTAGGAGTGGGCAACATGAAATTTTATTGCATTGTAAAAAATTAGGCCACAGTAAATTTTAAAGCACCATAATCAGACCTATTTAACTAGATTTACCGCAGTCCAGTAGGTGAAATGTTGAATAAAAATGACTGTACTCATAGTTTTTGATGGTGTTTTTTTTAATGTGGCTTTGCTTGTGCTTCTTCTGTCTGTTCCATCATATTAAACCTCAAAAAAGGCAACACTGTGATGCATATTGTGTATCAAAAATGTCAAAGTAAAGTACTGTGATTTTGGCCCTTATTCATCAAAGTTGCATTAAAAAAAAAAAAAGTGAATATTTGACCTCCTTTAATGACAAATGAACTACCCTGCGTCTGATTCATGAAACCTTTGTACGACATGGAAACAAGCAGGGAATTAAACGCAAATGATGAATCAGCATCAGTGCATGAAATCAAGCACCAGCCTACCAGCACCTCTTTTACAAATCATACTTGAAGCAGGCCCTAGTTTATGCAGATGTTTTGGTAGAGAGCCAATAAAATGGGAGCCAATGGCTGTGCCACAAAATCAAGCATTTTTGTTCATGTTGTTAAACCATTATGCTGAAATTTACACACACTCCTACCAGACGTCAACTCATTTTACGATCAGATTTGACTGTATGCAAGTTTGATACCAATGTATTTTTGCCATATTGCCACCCCTACTGTCACTTATCTCTGAAACCATTATTAGAATGAGTACCACCAACAGGCAAGACAACACAAATCAAAAACAACAATCTTCAAACTCATAAGCACACAAACTTTTTGGGATGCTGAGTCACAAGCATGTGAGCTGTGAACATGTGGACGCACATGAAAAGCACCAGGAAGCAGAGAAGTTCCTTGTTCTCCTTACTGTTTCTTAACTAGGCCAAGTTAATGAATAGGTTTTGCAAATAAATATGTAACAAACATTATTAAATGAGGTCAGAAGGCACAGGATTATAATGCAAATAAAAGGAAAACACAAGTCACGCTGCTGCATTATGGCTTGAACTGACCTCTGTTACGGTGCTTTTACACACTTCAACTGCCACAGACTCAAACTTTGGATCAGTAGTCAAGTTCAATTTATAGTTCCACAGCAACTGCAGGAAAGAGAAACACAAAAAGTTAAACTGAAACAGATGAGAGTGAGAAAAACAATACCAATATTCAGGTGTTTCCAAAGCAAACCTAACAGAAAAACAGACTTGATAATGTTTGACTGCTGCCAGGACAAATGTGTGAAGTGGGTGTAAAGGGTTTGCCTAATGAGACAGAGCCAGCTGAGAGCTCAGCCATCAGTCTGACCTCAGTCAATGCCAACAGGCGAATCTCCAACAACCCAAACATCTAAACGCTAAAGTGTTCAAAAGTAAACATTTTTTGATAACACATGCCTTTATTTAGTGCTGAATGTATAAAAAATAGAGAAAAAAGTTAAATAGTGTTGCTGCAGTATGTAATGATAGCTTGAGAACGAAGAATGAATCTTAAAGCGTTCATAATTCTATGTTTTGTCATTTATTTCATGTCTTCCTTGAGGTTCACTTACAATGTTGGTCTGTTTTTTTGTACCAAAACTGTCTAAGCCAAATTCAATTTAAAAGAGTATTTTCCAACATCTCTTTGTTCCTATTCTCTTTATTATTAGAATTAAACAGGCCGGTTTTGTTATTATGCCTCTAAGACTGATATATGTAAATGAGCTCTGGTCTGACTGGCCACATTGTATTGTGCATCATTCAAAAAGCAATCTGGACTGAAACACTGCTGTAGTAGATGGATATATACAAATGTGCATATTTTTGTGACATAAAAACAGTGAGCCAAAGAGGGCCATGTTTGCAGCTTGTCTGGACTGTACAGATCAGAGAGTGAAAAAATTTATACACACACTATCAAACTCTTCTTTTGTAAAACTGAGAAAGGTTTTCCATCATAAGCACCCTCTCCACCAACATTCTCCAACAAATATTAACTTCTAACTGGCTTCTAAATGGCACACTAATCCAATATTATGGTTTGTTAGAGAACACTTATTGGGTGTGTTCTGGGCTGAATATGGTACAACACAGTCATAAACTCCTTTTCACTTAATTTTTCAATTCACTCATGTCCCTCAGAGTAGGGTAGTGAATGATTAAACTTTAACACGTACAAAAACAGCACCAAACAGCTGAATCACTCTGTAGGATACCGCCTGGACATAGTTATAAGACCTGTATCTTGCCAATACCTTTACCCAGGGACAGTGTTATCACTGGCGCAAACAGATGACAACCTTACCTTAAAATGGAATCAGAAAAATGCTGACCAATTTCAATACTGTCTCATTAAACTAAAAATTATCTAGATGAAACTCCCTTTAAACTATATTTTTAAAGCAGGTGTGCCCACACTTTTTGTCCTGGGGGGCCAAAGAGCAAGTATAAAAAGTATTTTATAATGTTACAGTGTATTATTGTATTAAAATACAATTTTAAGGACACACTTTGGGTGGTCCTAATTTAAAGCACATTTAGTAACATCATAACAGCAGACTATTACTGTTATCACAGCTCAGGCTCATAGCATGATATTTGCCTCTGCTATCCTTGCAGAAGCAGCAAGTGTACCAGTTGAGTATATAGCCTAGAGGTATGACAACAACTGAGTTTGAAACAGATTTAAGGTGAGACAGACTGCAAACTTTGTAGGCCAAGTTAACCTTCTAACATCAATAGTAGCAAAGCTAAAGTATTGTTTGACTGGATGATGGATAAAACCATAGCGTATAAAACGTTCAGGGAAGAGATTTGAGCCTTGGTTGATCTTCATGTATTTAACCCATTCATGTCCAACAACTAAATGTAGAGTGATAAGTAAAAATGCCACAGAATTTTTAGGTCAGTAGACCGGAATTAATATGATAAATGAAGTGACAAAATCTCACTTATGGCTTGACTGATTTGAAAGATATGCTGATTTGTGCTTAGGCAAGCTTGGACAACATAAGGACCAAATTTAAAATGGACATTAATGGATTAAACAATGGCCAGTGGAGATGCTCCAAAAGCACTTAGTAAATCTAGATTCTGTTCCCCCACATAAAATCCATTAGAAGAAATAGGTCATTAAAGAACATTATGGCCATAAGTTTCAGGAACTTTTATTCTCATATCCTACTTCTCTTCCAATTTAGAACCAAGAGTTGGCCATTGCTGCAAATAATTTGGGCATCTGTGCTGTGTTAAAGTACATGCACATTAAGTACAATAAAGTATATGTTGACTGACGCCACAACACTTGATTATTTGATTGTAATTTAAAATATAACTTGGAAATAATTTCCTGTAACCTGTGGAAAGCCTGAACGGTATGCCACATTCAGCCCAGAGACACACCCAATAAACATTCTCTAACAAACCTTAAAAACCAAAATGAGTTCTGTAAGCTTTAACAGACCATAACAAAGGGACTTGAGAGTGTACCGCCAATAACATGATTTATATTCGCTCCAATTATTTGGGAATTGTCATGCTTTGGAAAGCAAAATAATTTTTAACACCAGATGTTGCGAACTCAAGAATGCCTCAGTTAAATATGTCGGAGTTAAATGTGCTAAATATTTCCAACAAAATTACACATGTATGTTAATATGATCACAGTTATGATCCCTAAACAAAGCTGGCGAATCACTCCTACATGGACCAATAATTTTTTCTTTAAATGAGAACATCAAAAGAAACAATGAGTCTGAAATGAATAGTTTTGTAATGTATGTTAAATTCTCAGTATATTTAAAAAATCTCTTACTAAATGGAGAAAAAATTAATAGTAAAGTGTTTGAGCACTTACATGGTTGCAGTCTGTGGAAATGTCAATTTCCTGGAAGAGAAGAAAGGAGGAAGAATTAAAAAAAAAAAAAAGATCACATTTGTCTTAAAATATAGACAGAGGCAGGGGCAAAACAGATAGGGATCTGCAAAAGATTAAACTTTACAAACCCCACAGAACACAAGTACAGTCAGGAAACCTGAATTAAGACAGTCGAACAAATACATCAGCTTCATACAGATAATATTGGAATAAATGTCATTCAAGAAATTAAGAAACTTTTTGGACTACATTTTAAACATGAGATTAAGCTTTGTCTAGGATTAAATCAGTGGGGAGTGTTTCAGGTTAGATGCAATTTGTATTCAAAATAGTCCTATATGATCTGAACACCTATTTAAGCACGTTTCCACAGACCCTAATATGATACAAACTTTCAAACTTCTGGTTGTCAGGACATCAACACAGACTACACATCAAATTTAATTACAGCCACTATGCTAATGTAGCACAGAATTCTGAAAGAGGATTATATCCTACTGAAAGATTATTTACACAGGAAATCATTTACTGTTGGGGTACAGGAGCATGCATCAGAGAGACAATATTAAACAACTATATGAATCTGCAAATTGACTGAAAATGAATAAATGAATGAACAAATAAAATCAACAAAAACTCCAACCAATCAATCAACAAACCAGAAACATGTTATGAACTAGTCTTAAATAAAGTTGGACCTTTATGCTAATTATGGGGCTAGACGATTTACGGAAAACATCTAACAGCAAAATAAAAGCCATTACTTCTGAAAAATGAAGCTTCAGGCCTTTCTTTCCTCGTCGAGAAGACCAGCACATTAATTTTTTGGGGCTTAAGGGGTTGAATGTAGTGTGCCAGACTGCAAGTTCACAAGCTCTGCATTATTAGGTTAAAATTTTCCCACATTAAACTTGTTACAAAGTTAAGATACAATTAAAAATCCAGCTTTCGCCACTGCACAATTAAAATGTGCACTTTCAAATTTCAATTTTGATATAAATACGATCAATCATTTAGGACCAGCTATCTATGTTCTATTCATCTACAATGGTGTAAATCTCAGACTTCACAATGACAATTTCACATTTCTTTACAGTTCTTGCGGAAATTAATAAAACGCATCATGAAATTTCAAATTTCCTCACAAGTCTTTTCAATTAGTTTTTTTGTAGGATTCCGAACTGTTAAATGTGACAGGAGGAACTATTTACACAGAAGTGTAATATAGATAGCTAGAGAATTTTATTTTGGCCAAAAAAGAGCACAAAGTATAATTATAATTAATTGTAATTGATTTATTATTTATAAATGGCCAGACCGATGCATTTTACACTGAGTATTTATAAGATTACTTCAACCACATATTATATGCATACTGTAGTCTAAATGCAAAGTGCAGAACACTGTATTCCCATGAAATGCTAAGACTAAGTACAAAGAGTTTATAAAGCTAATCTCAAAGACAGAACCGCTATCGGCATTTAACAGCAGAGGAGCAAAAGAGCAGCTCAGTTAGAGACACTCAGTAGAGTGAAAGAGCAGGTCATGCCAGCAACAGAGACACATAACACAACCATCCCTAGCCCTAAATAGAGTAAGACGAGCTGCCAATATCTTGATGCCATATGATCTTAGTGACTACACCCAGATCAACCATCCAGCTTCACATACTAAAATCTGCCCTAAAACAAATGTTTGAAGTAGGGAAGGCAGTTTCAATCAATTCTCTTCAATTGTCTTTTAAACATGCAGCACTTTTAAGTACTACAGTGTGCCCTGAGGAACACTCAGCAGCCAACTCAGCAATGTGACCAAGCAGATGCCCGGCTGTGACCTGCTGCCTTTTCTTCAAAGTGAGATGCACACATGTGCACTGAGCACGGAGAGCACATGGCACACCTGAGATTCAAACATGGTTGTGTCACTGCACTTTAACTAGATGAGTCACTTGAGGATATCTGCAGAAAAAGTGATCTTTTTTGTTAAATGGCGACTGTGACATCATACAATGTTGGTTATATAACTTTTGTACCTATGCATGGGTTATCTTGAGTTTAATCAAATTTCTTGGAGGTCTGTTTTCACAAGGAGTGTTTATTTCCTGCCATTCAACCAGAGAAATATGGTATCTTTGTGGCTTATTCAGTCAGTACTTTTCACATCAGTGTGCTCTAGCTCCAAAACTCAACAGTATACCTACTACAACTGGTCATCTATTCATGCACTCCTGAGGAAGGGGTACGATCACTATTATTAAAAATAATGACAAGACCTAACTATATCAAAGTATAAAACCTGAACTCTGTCTATATCGCCCATAAAAACGAAACAAAAACTAATATGAAATAATACAGAATCAAACCTGCAAAGATTATAAATATTTACTGTATTCTTTTGCTCACTTGTCTATCCCTTCCTTCATTTATCTATCCATCCCATAGGTAAACAGCATGAATGCATGCAGTCCCGCTAACAGAAGCGGAGAAGAGGAGAAGGTTCAGTGAGACATGTGGCAATCAATAGTTTGAATGGAAATCAAACACCAGGAAGTAAATATAGCAGACACACAAACCCCTACAGAGATGTCATCCTATCCTTTATATTGATGTTCCCTGAGGCTTATCTACAGACAGCTGCAAACACAAATGCAGATCTTTAGCCAGGGCCACTGCCTGAAATAGCTCCTAAGAGAGAAAGTAAAAATAACTAAGTATTCACCACCATTACAATCAAACCAAACAAATTTACTCTAGGCTTCTATACAAAGTACGCAAAGTGGAAACTTTTTTTGTGCAAAATGTAAATGAAAAAAAGTGATGCTGTGCAAATATTTTAAACACTTATTAATCGGAAATAGTACTAAGACAACATATTAAAATGTTAAAACTAAAACATTTGATTGTTTTTTGAAAAAAAATGCCCATTTTGAATTTGATGGCAGCAACACATTTCAAAAAAGCTGGGGGCATGTTTACCACTGTGCTGCATCACCTCTTTCTTTAACAACACTAAGTGTTCAGGAACTGAGGAGATGTTCATGCTGTAGTTTTGAAAGTGAAATGTTCTCCCACCGTTGCTTGATACAGGATTTCAGCTGCTCAATAGTTCGGGCTCTCCTTTGTTGTATTTCTTGTTTCATAATATGGCAAAAGTTTTCAGTGACAGGTCTGGACTGCAGACAGGCCAGTTTAGCAGCCAGACTTTTTTTTACTACGGAGCCATGCTGTTGTAATACATGAACATGGCTTTGCATTGTCTTACTGAAATAAACAAGGCCTCCCCTAAAAAAGACTCTGGATGGCAGCATATGTTGCTCCAAAACCTGTATATACATTGTTCAGTAGGGGTACGGGAAAAATCGATTCTTAGATGCATCGTGATGCGGACGTGAACGATTCTGAATCGATTCACAAATGTCAAAAATCGATTTTCTAAATATTTCATTTATAACGTAATGTTGACGGAACGCAAAAGGTGGAACTTGGAAGTGCGGAAGTGCAGCGCCCGGACAGTCTGTGGTGGCACATAACAAAAACACAACTGGATGAGCGAGAAATCCGACCGGCTCCCACTGCATTAAAAGCCAGGTTAGATCAGGAGTCACAACACAAATGTTAACATTTTGTCCTTTCAACAAAAATCAAACCACCTTGGCAGCCACAACATTTAATGTCCAGTATGTCTCCGTATGTGATAATGTCCTAGTATAGACTAAACAATATAAACAAAAACACATTTACTTTGCTCTGCTTTAAGCTTTTCTTCCATTTCCGCCAGAAAACTTTTCCTCAGAAGTAGATCAGTTAAATGTCTCAGCGTTCGACTGTTTTACGAGGCTGAAGTCACTTCTTATTCTCCAGCTTCTTGTTCGAATTTACCCATTCCACCTTAAATTCTAACTGAGGCGCCGAATGTAAATGCGGCACCATTTAAGGTGGAACGGGAGAATTCGAAAGAGAAGCTGACTTCAGCTTTGCCACTTTTTAGTGTGTGACAGTCTCTCGTTGCAGATTTAACGTATCAGGAAACCAACTGTGCCGCTTATAAATGCGAATAACGCATCGCTGCAATGTGACCTGCAGTCGCTGCGAAACAGGGCTTTCGCGCTTTGTTGCGCACGTCCCGCCTCAACGATATTTTACTGACACAGCAGGTTTTTCTTGTATTTTTATTTTTACTTATTTACTTTCTGTAGAGTGATTAGCTGAGCCTCACCACAAGCATTTCAATGCATAAATGTCCTGACGTTGTGCAAGTGACAAATAAACTTGAAACTTGAACTCGAAACTTGAGCTCACACAGTGAGAAAAAATAAATGCTACATAGAAATGCATCGATCGAGATGCATCGATAATCGTTTTATAATCGCATCGCAGCCCTCTGAATCTTAATCGAATCGAATCGTGAGGTGCCTAGAGATTCCCACCCCTATCGTTCAGTATTTATTTTGCCTTCACAGATGTGCAAGTCAACCATGCCATATGCACGAATGCACCTCCCCACCATCACGCCTACCTACTTAGTTGTGAGATGTTCCTTCAGGTGTTAAACAACTTTACCGGTCTGCTGTCTCAACTTTTTAAAAAAAAGTTGCTACCATCTTATTCAAAATGGGCATATTTTTCCCCAAAACAATAAAAAGTTTCTCAGTTTCAACATATGACATTTTGTCTACACACACACACACACACACACACACACACACACACACCAATGGCCATGACCTCATAAGGAGTGAAGGAAGGCCTACGACATAGTTTAAAGCAAAACCAAAGATAAGATGTTCCGTTTTGTTGCCTCCAGCATTTTAAGAAATCCAAAGTGGTATGACAAGGGATGCAGGATCAACAGATTTTTGCTCCAAATGCGCAATTGGCCAATTTTTTCATTTTTATTTTGGTTGATTTGCATTACAGATTTATGAGGTAAAAACCGCAAGTCAGAGGAAATGCACTTGTGCTGTATTTGAATGCTGCTGTTACTCCTGTACCGAAACATTGTACCATAAT